GCTTAACATAAGCTTGACTCCCCCGAACATCGAATTAGTCGAGGAGTGCTGTCGAACTGTGTCGCTTACTCGTGACAAAGGACTGAATTAATCGAGGGCTTTAATCGAATTGTGTTTCTTACTCGTGACAAAGTGCTTAGCTCCCGCAGAACTTGTGCTGGGGCACTTTGTAGGCTTGATGCATCGTGTTCTGCGACCAATACATTTATCTGGGCTTCCCCCAGCAACCGTATGCGGCAAAAGTGCAAACCAATGAACATCTACAACAGCCGTAACAGCCACGTCAGTTTCAGGCAGTTGGCGAGAAATGACTGAAAAGCTCGGGGTGCGAGCATGCCAGTCAACTGAATCATGCTTCTCAAAGTGCGTTTGAGAAGCAGTAAGCCAAATTCTTGCCGACCTTTGAGTTCGGTGCCGCCTACAGAGGGCTCAACAGTACCAGATTCGCACAAAGCGGTTCATCCTTGGCGTTCCAGGAGGCAAAAAGGGGCACGCACAAGGCGCGGTGAAAAGGCCGTGCAACTGACGAGGTAGCATCCTCTCTTGTTGAAACTCATTAAGCAGACTTTAAGAGTTGTTGCCGACTTGCAGATCCCAGCCGAATGATACGGTTTTTCAGTTCATGTAATCTAGATTAGAGCCCTTCGAAATTAACTGGTGACACCTGCTTCTTGGTCGCAAACGTAATGTTTGCGCTTCTATTGTTTTACTAGAAAAGCCCTAACACGAGCAGCATAATACGCTGCCCGACGTATGCTGCATACATACAAGTAGTATACGCGTTTTCCGCAGCATACGTTTGTTGCAGCTGTTGCACAGCAAGCGACTCTCCAGCATTTGCAGTTAAGGCAGCCGTCCACCTAACATCACTTGGCTGAGTTACTAACACGAAATACCTACACTGTGATGCAAACCAAAGAACTGCTCCGAAGACACTGCATGTGAGCTAGAGGCATAAGCCCACGTTCCCAAAATAAAGAATGAGGCAACGATGGGTGGGTGCTTAGTGATCGTGAGAGCCCATGATTTTCGTCATGTACATGCGATTGTTCCTTGAGCAAGTCTGTGGGTGGAGACAAGCACATTCCGTTGTTTACCTAGATTCAGCGAAAATTGCACACAGCGCGGTCGCCGAGCAGTCGCGCGTCGCCCACTGGTAAGAACTCACTCATTCTTAAGCTTTTCCCAATCTGTCGAACCTGGACAATATAAAGGTAAACAGACAAGGAGTCGTCCTGCTTCATGGCCGAGAAGTATGCTTCAGGCTTGTTCGATTACGTCGCCGGCAATTCTATACACCCATTCTTCTACTTCGTATTCATATGGAGGCTCTTGCAGCGGATGTATAGGGCGGGATTTTTCAGACCAACTAAAGCAGTGCAAGAGGGGTGCCAC